GTGTGTGTGTGTGTGTGTGTGTGTGTGTGAGTGTGTGTGTGTGTGTGTGTGTGTGTGTGTGTGTGTGTGTGTGTGTATGTGTGTGTGTGTGTGTATTTACTATTTGTGTCTCTTGAATCGAGCTATTTGCTCTTGGACCCCGCTTTTCTAGCCAAATTTATTTTTCCTCTATTATGTCTACTATATATATTTCTCTAACACACACACACACATACACACACACACACACACACACACACACACACACACACACACACACACACACACACACACACACACACACACACACACACACACACACACACACACACATACCCAAGAAGCAGGCTGTACTAGCTGTCTAACTCCCAAACACCTGTTTACTGCTAGGCGAACAGATGCATCAAAGTGAAAAAAAAAACTCCGCGCATTTCGTTTCTGCCTCGACCTGGAATCGAACCCGGGCCATTAGAATCGAGCATGCGTATCACTCAAGGGAGGAGCTACGTGTTTGGAGGTCGGGTGTGTGAGAGGTCAGAGGTGGTGTGCAGGTATATGGAGGTGAGGCAGGAGGCCAGGCCTCTTGTGGCTCTTCGTTCCCCGTCATTACCATCAACCTGTCGTAAATCTTGACTCGCATAACCTCCCTTCCTTAAAGTTAGAACACCGCCAACCACTGCAACGCGACCAGTTCCCCTCCTTCCCTTTCTCCCCTGCACCGGACTCAGGCAGCTGTTGTGGTGGGTAGTGTATATAGGAGATAGGGGGAGAGGGATACCCTGTGCTGCTAGTGTACGGGGGTGATGTGTGGTAATGGTAGTTGTGCGCGTTAATAGTAACGGTGGTGTATATACAGTACTGGGAGAGAATTAGTCACTGAAACGCAGATGAACAGAAATAACCCGCTGCGTGTGTGTGAGTGTGTGTTTGTGTGTGTGTGTGTGTGTGTGTGTGTGTGTGTGTGTGTGTGTGTGTGTGTGTGTGTGTGTGTGTGTGTGTGTGTGTGTGTGTATGTGTGTGTGTGTGTGTGTGTGTGTGTGTACTCACCTAGTTGTACTCCCCTAGTTGTGCTTGCGGGGGTTGAGGTCTGAGTCTTTGGTCCCGCCTCTCAACTGTCAATCAACTGGTGTACAGATTCCTGAGCCTACTGGGCTCTATTATATCTACATTTGAAAC